TATAGACCTAAAATATTTTTTTGGTCTTATCTTATTCATTTTTTATTATATACAAAATTATTTTTCGTCAAATTTGGAGCTTTTCCTAAAGAGCTATAATTTGCCAGGCTTATATAGAAGCTGAGAATGATTGCAATATAAACACGTCATATGGGTCAGGGCATCTTGTAGTCAAATATTTTCACCTACTCTTAATTGTTTTAATATTGAGATATTGCCAACCCGGCTTAAAGCTTAATATTGTAGTTAAATAAATATCAAGGAAGATAATACAGATTTTAATATTACAGCAATCTCAACTGAATGAGCATATAGATGCGAAGCTAAGTAAATTAAAAAAAAAAAAACAATAGCATGGCTCGAAATTGAAATGAAAATTTGAGAAACTCCCCTGCCTTTTTGGTTGTTTTTTTTTTTCTTTCGGCATTTTAAAATGTCATTTGTTTTTTGTTTTCATCGAACAATGCATATTTTCGGTGTGGCCTTACCTTTGCAATAGCACACGGTGCAGGGTGTATCCGGATCAACCAATTTATAGCCATTCGCATAAGTCTTGCCGTCCTTTTGGCAATCTGTGTGGGCGAAAGAAATAAAAGGTAAGCCCTAAAATGATGCGGCAGCAGCAGCAGTTTGCATAAATGCAACGAGTGGCAACAACTTACCGCATTTATAATCGGGGCAGCAGTGGCCGGTGCGCTGAATGGCGCGGCAGCTCGTCTGCTTCTCGCAGTGCACCGTCGTCTCCGGCACCCAAATGCCATCCAGCAGGCATTGGCCTGTAAATAGAGAAGGCGGAGGAGGAGGAGGCATTGTTTGGATTTTCCTTTTTTTTCACGAGAACAGATTTTGGTGTTAGCTAAGTCCAGATACTTACCCTGCGGCTGTTGCTGCTCCAGCAGCGATTCGGTAGTGCTGCTGCCACTCGAACTGATGCTGCTCGGCGTGACCGCGGCCATGACAATTGTAGAGGATGCGCTGTGGCTGCTGCTGCTGCTGATGCTGTCGGTGGGCACTGCAAGTGGGGGGCAAGAAGAGGCAAATTGTATAATAAGAATCAACAATGGAGCTGGGTGACAGCCACGCAGCCAACGATGCTGGGCGACTAGGTACATATTTGAATGAATGACATTTTGATAACAGTTTTCTTCTTTTTTTTGCCTGTTGTATATTGTTGTTGTTGTTCGGCAAGGTGAAATGCTAACAAAATACGGCAAAAGTTAAATGAGTTTAGTTTTAGTTTGGCTCTTTTTGTTTGCTCACAGCCTGAAGGTGGCTAGGGCAGGGGGCGGGGCTGTCCATGATGTTGTTGCTTTTGTCAGTTGCACTCGATTGTGTCCAACTGGTCCTCCCCCTGCCCCTGCTCCTCCTGCTCCTCCTCATCATCCCCATCCATAGCCCGCCCCTTATCTAATGCGAATTGTTAGGCTGTCAACTGTTGGCCAGCTCTTAAATTTCATTGGCAGAAAAACCCTCAAATTGTCGTCCCTTGTTTTTCCGTTTGTTGTTACATCATCTACGCTACTCGCCTGTCATTTCGGACCCATGAAAAATGATTAAATATGTGCCTGCATTAATCATACGCACTGTGTGCCAAATAATTTCTATTTTCCAACCAACTCCTTCACAATTTCAGGCACGCTTGTGTCCCCAAATTGTTGTTTGTCCAGCCAGTTGCCTCATCAGGCAACTGCATATGCTGCTTGTTTTCATTGTTTGGCTGTGGTTTTTCACGGAAAATGGAAAAACAGATATGTATCCGGGTATATCTGTTTACAACTAGCCAGAAATATATCATATAAACAGCGGCCAGTTGGTGTTGTTCATTTTCCTTATAAATTGTAACCATAGACAACGTTTAATTGAGCTATATAAATATGATTTACTTGCTCTGGCGTAAATTAAAAAAGTTTCCAATAATTAAAGTAATTTTTACTTTAATTTTGATGGGAAATGACGAATGAAGCCCATTGTTTTTATAAATATTACATACTTAAATTGTTAAACTATTAAAAAAAACAATTATGAAAAAATAATTCAAAATTAAAA